CTCAGTCAGTGTGGGTTTTTCTTTTGTCTTTCCCTCTCTCCTTCTTTCCTTTCTTCCACTCTTTTTCCCTTCTTTCTCGGTATGCCCCACCTCATTCTCCCTCTCCCCATTTCCTCTTCTATCTACCCTCTTCACTATTAGAAAGTCTTAGGATCCTGCCTAGTTCTAATTTGCCTAGTTGGTGCGCCAAACGCACTCTCGGGCTGTGAGCCTCTTCCAGGCAGGTGCACGTGGCAGCTTCCGGTTGTCCCCTCCGAGCTCAAGGCCTACTCCCCGCAGGGCTTTGGCCAGATCGAATCCTGCTTGGAGAATGGAAACCCTGCCTCCGCCACCTGTTGAGATTCCTAGGCTCATTTGGTTCCTGCTTCTCCGCTCCAGTCTTGCCTTTAAAGCCCCAGGGTTGCGGGACCTGGGCACGCAGGGGTTGCCTCCCGCTGCCATGACTCCCTTGTGACTAGCTCGGCGGCGTGGACACCCTGCACTTGGACATTGGTTTTCGACTTTTCTCCCTTCTTGCTCCTATTAATCAATTGACTCTCATCTCTCCGATTGAAATCATCCAGCACAAAAATCTCCTGGGAGTCGAAGGGATCAGATCCAGAGAAGCTGTGTGTCAGCCCACGGCCTGACGCCAGTACCGGGATGACTCAGAAACAGGTCTGCACTCATTCCAGCCATAGGCCTGTTACCTCGCCCGCCACATCACCAATGATTTCCTACTCCACTGCCCAGTCAGCTTCTAGAGCAGGATTCACAGTCCGTTTATTTCTGTCCAGTCTCCCTGGAACAGGAATTCCTGGGAGGGTCATTTGCCTACCTTTTTGTTCAGGTCAGCAGTCCTTAGAATGTTTGTTGATCTTGCTTCTCCGACTTACTCCTCCAAACTACTCTCCCCCGGACTCCAGCTCTCCGCCTGCCTGTGCACAAAGGCAGCGTGAGCTGCTCCGGGTACCAGTCAGTCAGTCAGTACTAGTCAGTCCTCAGGCTAAGGAAAGCCCTTTCTCCTTACCCCCTAACCACAGACACACCAGAGCCAGATCTACACGCAAAGGCAGTCACGGAATTGGATCTTACAGAGATCAAGTCCCCCTCCACAGTTTACTCCCATCAATGCATGCAGAGAGGAATTATTATTATTATCATCTTCATCATCATCACCACCATTATCATTATTTTGCAAGACTCCCCCCGGCTGTGGCAGATCACCATCCATGTTTACATAAAGATAAATCTTGCAAATGAACTTCTAGACTAGACAGATGCAGTTTCTGCCTGTTCTGTTGGTTTTCAATTTTGTTTTTTGTTTTTAAATTTCTCTTCCTCTCTTTTTCTTTCCTTTTTCCTTTTCCTTTACTCTTTCTTTCCCACAAACCATATGTTCTTTATTGCTAACCCGCTCACAGTTCCCTAAGGACCCCTCTGCTACAAGGGCATGACAGGGACAAACCCCGCTGTGGCTCACCCAGACATTTCAATGTGGCGGCGCCCAGATCCTCATCTTGTTCCTAAATCCGAGCTCACCCAGCCTGGTTTTTTGATGGAGAGAAGAGCGGCGCCAACGCTTTTGACAAGTGACTGTGGAATTGGGACGCAAAATGACTGCCGTGGTGGCTGCGCTGCTTTGCGGGTTTAACCCACACATTCACCAGTAGCTAACACTGTTGGTCAGGAAGCTCAGGAAGCGCATGGCCTGGAATCTAGAGTTTTACTTTACTCCTTTTTGTAGAATTGAGGGTTCCTCGGCAATTGTCCCACTGTATCCTGCCGCCCAGTGGCGCAGTCAAGCAACCTCTAGTCTCCCCCACAACCCCCGTGGGTCGGTTCTCGTCTCCAACCAGACCCAGCAGGAAGAGCCCTGGAAGCCTTCATCATCACTTTACTCGCCTCTCTCTTAACATTATTTTACATAGATTATAATTCTGGGGTAAGACTTGCTTCTTCCTGGAAGCGAGGAAACCTCTGGGGGGGGGTCCAGAGAAGCTTCTGCTTGTTCCACTCCCCTCCCCACCCTACCCCAAGTGAGGAGGATGCATAAAGAAAAGTGTTGTCATGCCTGGGCAGAAGCCACCCCAGGCCTTTGCGATGTAGATCCTCAGATCCACACCCACTTGGGAACTAAGCAGAATTGTGTGTGTGGGGGGGGGTACAGGAGTCAACCACAGTGCTCCCTTTTCAGTCCCAACTTGTTGCAGGGGGTAAATTATACTTTTTTTTTCTTTGTTCTCAAGACTTGAATTTCTTTTCACAGGTGACACCAGGGGCAGATGCCAGGATTATTCACAGGATTCTTGAAAGCACTTCCCTGGACACATGTGAGGTTCGACATGTGCTGGCGTCCAAACCTGGCTTCTCCCTCCTAGATCCTCTGCTGTCACTCATTAGTCTAATTAGCAGCTTCGTGGTGTACTTGGTAGCCCAGTGGCTCCGAGCTAGGTGGAGACTCCGATGCAGGCTATTGAGATAGGGTGGTTTCCGCTTCCAGATGCATTTGGGGAAGAGGAAGAGGGAACCCAAACCAAACTGTTGTAGGCTTCTTCCAAATTTGGTTTCCCTGCTTGGGTTTGACAGGGTGGGTGCCACTGTTAGGACAGCCTCAGCCAATATCACTACCTTGGCCTTCACCATGAAGCTTTAGAAATGGCTGTGTCCACTCAGGGCTCTCACGATCCCTGGGGCCTTCTGGGTGGAGATGGGTTGGCCTTTATCCTTTGGTGGCATGTGGACCCGAGAGTGCTGGGCAGGGGAGGAAAAGTACTCAGTCAGCACCTCTACCCTTACCCAGTCCATTCTGCCTCTGAGAATACATTTTTCCTAGCAGGTGGTAAGTAGTCTGTGAATATACTGTTGAACTGGCACCCATGAGCTTGTTCAGCTGGAAGTGTCCCAGAGGACTTTCTGAACCCAGAAAGGAATCTGCAGCCACCCTGTTATAAAGGAGTCGCCATTGCTGGCTCTCCAGCAAGATCAGCCCTCTGGAGAACTGGGCTCACACCACTGAAGCCTTGAACTAAAAAAACAGAGGAGACTCGCCCCAGAGGGCTCTAAACTGAGGATCCCTTTTCACTGGGTGTGCGGCCTGAATTCATCCTCTTGAAGTTCACCTTGGGTACCTCTTCCCCCCACCTATTAAAGCTGACCTTACAAAGTACCAAACTGGCTCTGTTCAGCTATGAGGAGGCAAAAGGAAAAAAACAAAAACAAACAAAAGAAAACTAAACTTGGGAAAGTCAGCTCCTCAGTTGCTATGCTGTGTGCTGCAAAATGAGTACCCAGACTTTGAAGGACGCCAGTCCCGGAAAAGGAAGTGAGAAAGTGTTGGCCCTTGACAAACTGAATCATTTAATATAAAACTTGGTTAAGCGGGGCTGGGGACAAACAGCTCCTGGGCTTTCTACTGTGAACTCCTCCCCCAAGTGTGGGGGGTGGGGGGTGGGGTGTCCAGACGTTTTCTGGAGTCCCCAGAGGCCAGTCTCGCCTGCTCCCAGGGTCAAGGAAGTCTTTTGACTTCTGGGGAGCACAGAGCTACCCAGCTTTTCCCACTGGGAATGAACTCTTAAAGGGCCAGCTCATGGAACTTTGAACAGCTACCCGCACCACCCCCCCATCACCTCCCTCAGCTGCCACCACCACCAATCTTGCCTCTTGAGTTTGCCTTAATTAGGGGGTGGGCAAGTAGGATTGGGGGCTTGAGTTCACGTCAAAACTGTCAAAGAGACGGGGGTAGAGGGACCTAGAGAGAGGAGTGGAGGATTCAGGGGCAGGAAAATTCAAATATCATAAAAGGAAAAAAGGGGAACTTGAAGCCCAGAAGTCATTGTTTCCTTTATTTCAAAGGGAAAAAACCTGCCCGATTCTCATCCTTTTGATTGATTAAGGCTCTGAATACCTCTCGGCCCCAGACTGACAGTCCCTGAATAGACTCGAAGGAATAAAGAGCAGTGCAGAGAGCCGGGCTGGCACTCGGGGGTGTAAAGGAGGCGAGTTCGCTGGCACTTACCAAGTTATAAATAAAAGGCTATGCACAATGGTACCTTCTCTAAGGACAGACAGTCTTTACAACACTCCTGGCGTCATATCCTGCTGGGGACACTTCAGCCCCCAGCCAAGACTTAGCTCCTTTTATTTTTCCAGCAGTTTAGTCTGAATGCCATAATAAATTCCTGAGAACAAACGCTGCAACCGGGCAAAACTTCAACGTATAGATGCGTGTGCATCGGGGATTGATCCATATGTGAGATTTAGAGTCCTGGCTTCCCAGAAGGACTTTTAAAACAAGAAAAGGAGCTGAATCCCCCCCCCCCCCTATCTTGCAGCTTCTAGGCCGGGGTCCTAGCCAAATCTGTCTATGTCGAAGGCTACCCCACCTATCCTTCGCTCCCAGACCAAGGAAAACGTAAAGACCTTCTGGGTACATCCTGGAATCTTCCCGAGAGGAGCCGCACTGGGAGGCTCCCATAGCGAACCCAGGCCCAGGGAATACCAGAGAAAAGAAAACTAAATACATCCGGAACTCCTTATGCCTTTTTACGAGTTACCCCCCCCCAACTCGTGTTAGTAACCCTGAAGAGAAAGCCGCAGGTGAAAAGCAGAGACACACGGAGAGAATAAGGGACAGACAGACAGACAGGGAAGAGACACAGAAAGACTGGGGCAGACGGGAATGGAAAACCAAAGAGATCAAAGTGACAGACACAGCGAGCCCTTCTCCATCCTCAGCCGCTCTCATCACCCAGGCTGCCTCTTCCAGTTTCAACCTGTCTACCCTTCTCTCTCGGGGAAGGGGCACAGAGCTGGTCCCCCTCCGGGTCGGTGGAGGCCTGGGCACTGTCAGGGATGGGAAGAGAAAGTAGCCTCTGTCGCCCAATCAGCGCGTGTCTTCGCCACCCGGGACGGTCTCCTCGTTGGCCAATCGCAGCTCAGGGCTTCTGACCAAGCTTTGGGTGAAAGAACTAATAAATGCTCCCTAGTCCGGATCCCAGCACTCGGTGTCACGACGGGAGGAGACTCGGGCCGTGCTCCCGCCTCGTCACCACCCTCCCGCCCCCGATCTTCGTGACTCCTTGAGCACCCTTGCCAGTGGCCCCAGCTGAGGGGCCTATCTGCCAAACTCGCACCAAACTTGTCCGCCTTGGGCTTAGGATCCTTCATTCTAAGGACTCCTCTGGAGCGGGTGGACTGAGAGCTAGCAGCCCCCCTCCCCCTGCGCCCCGCCTCTCTCTCCCTCTCTCTCTTTCTGTCTCTCCTGCCTTCTTTTTGGGGAGGAGCTCTCTGCGATCTGGAGAGTCCCCGAGGGTCACCGGCCGCATTGCGCTCGCTCTTCCGTCTCGCCTTCACCTGGATATAATTTGCGTGAGAAGCTGCCCCCAGGATGACCACGCTGGCCGGCGCTGTGCCCAGGATGATGCGGCCCGGCCCGGGGCAGAATTACCCACGCAGCGGCTTCCCGCTGGAAGGTATGTTAGGGCCTCAGCCCATCCGGATCCCGGGGCCTGGGATTGGCTGCCGCACCCCATCCCAGGTCTCCAGGGCCTGGAGTCGTGCGTTCCCCGGAGCCTCTTCCTCCGTACTTCCCATTCTAAGAAGCAATAGTCGGGAGGGTCTCGTGGAGGGGAGAGAAGCCCTATTCCACTTTCTGACTGCAAACGAAGCACCGTACTCTACACAAACCCTCAGAGCTTGCTTGGCCTGCTGCGGCCGGCTACACTTTACCCCGTTGTTTGGAGTTGCTGCCGTGATGAAGGCGGACAAGCTTCGCAGCCACGGAAACAAGTTTTTCTATCCACCCAAAGTTGCTACGAAATTGTCCCAGCTGCGCCCACTTTTCAAAACCTCCTGTTAGTTCGGCAAGAATTTTCCTGCTGTGGAAAACTGAGGTGGTCCGTTCTAATTGGAACTTTTGGCATTGATTAATTCAATTCTAATCAACTCAAGAAGCATCTCGAAGTTTCTTAACATGTTTGGGGATGCCCTTTGGTTTGCTTGAAGGTTTTGGGAAATTTCGGGGAGGTAGAAATTACTGCAAACTCGAACTCTACCAAGCAATTTGGGAAGTAAGGGCAGTCTTGAGACCTCGATTCATAGTAGAACGCAGCGTGCAATGGCAGTAATCGCGGCTGCGGTGGTCACAGCCAGGCTCGCCGCCGTTTTTTTATTTCTGTGGTGTAACAGGTGATACGCGCTGTCACCTGTGTCTCCTTTCCGGACCCTCCCTGACCCTTGCCTACTACACTCTGATCTGGAAACTCAAAAGGTTGTCAGCTTGCTCCAGATCCGGCAGGATTTTGTTAGCGCCAGATGTTCTAGGCATCAGCCTTATTTCTCCTTCCAACTTCCAGTACCCCCCTCTCCCTCAAAGAGAGAATACAGTTTCTCTGTATCAAGTTATCTTACAGCATTTACTCAATTTTCATAAGGTAATATGCCCCTGCAGTGGATAATCATTGAAACAATCATAACCGTAAGAGTCCGGGGCTGGGGAGTCCAAAGCCTGGTAGTTGGTATTTGACTGTCACTGAATGGTTGGCCGGAAGGATGCAGAATTAGGCTGGTTCGTCTTTCTGCTTTCTAGTCTCCCTAAACGATTTTCGCCTGGACTTTGTCTTTTGCATTCTCTTCCCAGTGTCCACCCCCCTCGGCCAGGGCCGGGTCAACCAGCTTGGAGGAGTTTTTATCAACGGCAGGCCTCTTCCCAACCACATCCGCCACAAGATTGTGGAGATGGCCCACCACGGCATTCGGCCTTGTGTCATCTCTCGCCAGCTGCGCGTGTCCCACGGTTGCGTCTCTAAGATCCTGTGCAGGTACCAAGAGACAGGCTCCATCCGTCCTGGTGCCATTGGAGGCAGCAAGCCCAAGGTGAGCCTGGGGCCTGGCTTCGTGGACTTTGGGTCCGTGGTCAAGCCGGTGGGGAGTGGGCACCCACCGTCTGGCAGGGAGTGAGGAAATTTCCAAGGGAGGTAATATCTATCTATCTATCTATCTATCTATCTATCTATCTATCTATATATCTAGGAAGGAGTGGTGTGTGTGTGTGTGTGTGTGTGTGTGTGTGTGTGTAGAATTTAGTTATTATGGTTGCTGGTGGTCCTTGAACCTTGAAAACCGGCTAGCATTAGCATTTTTCCCCCCAAGGGAAGGGAAAAGTTTTTAATGCCTGGGGGCCTTGGAACCCTCAACAAATTATTTTAATAAACGCCTAAAGCAAGCTTGTTTCCCCAATCTCCACTCACTGCACCACTTTCCTAGAATGAAGCTAAAAATCCCAATTTGATTCTTGAATATTTTCTTTCCCAGCACTGAGAACCCCCGCCCCCGCCCCTGTGCAAAATGTTTTCAAGAAGTCAAAAGCCGGGGCTATTAGTTTTCTTTATAATAAGCCTCTTGACTACATTTTCAAAAAGCAGTTTGGAGAGATCCTTAAATCATGTTAGTTTTCTTTAATAAGCAAGAAAGTGCTGCCCTCTCCGGAGTGGGAGGAGATTATTCGAGGCCTGCTACCTTCTTGGGTTGTGAAGAGAAGCCAGTATGATTTTCTAGTTGCTAGGGGGCAAAGTCAAATGAGCACTGGTGACTCCCAAACATAGTCCCCCTCCCTCCCCATTTTCTCTCTTAACCTGAGTGAGAATCTTAGGAGTGAGTGAAAGAGTCATTCTTTCAGGTTATCTATGTTTGTCTAATTAAAAACAACAACAATACAAGCTAGATACAAGGCCTTTGAAATCTCATCCTAATCCTCCCATAGCTCAGATCTGACCTCTTTGGAACTGACCTAATTTGATTTTTCTGTGGTTCTTTTTAACATTTTTCTTTTAGTTTCGTTTTTGTGTGGATTCGGTGGGGTGTCTAGTGGATCAGAAAGTACAGCCCTCACCTCCAAACTTACATTTTTTAAAAATTTAATCTGGTCCCCCATGTGTCTTCAGGTGGATAGATGGTCTCCAGGCTGTCCGAATGGGAAAATCTCCTGTCTGCTCTTTTCTAAACTGAATTAAAGCCCTTGGCTAAGCAGAGGGACAGTCCCAGAGTCTATTGGAAGGAACATGCTACTGACCATGAGGTGGAGGCACCATATCTGGTTCACAATGTTGGGTACCAACGCACCATCCGCCTATTCTCTTAAAGCAGGTGACAACGCCTGATGTGGAGAAGAAAATTGAGGAATACAAAAGAGAGAACCCGGGCATGTTCAGCTGGGAAATCCGAGACAAATTACTGAAGGATGCTGTATGTGATCGGAACACTGTGCCCTCAGGTATTGGGTCCATTAACTTTTTCCTGAGGCAGGACCGTCAGTCTCTTACTCCAACAGGTCATACAAGTCATAAAATCTCCCCAATTATCCATCCTGGCTATTGGGAGGCTGTCCTGAAATATTTACAAGCCAGACATTCTTGATATTTTATGGAGCATTGGGCGAACGGCTGATCCCCAGGGTGGCGGCTTGGAGGATGACCTGAGGTTTCCCCGCAAATGGAAACATAGGGCACAGGCTATATGATTATTTGTATTGATGTTCCCTTCTAAAGAGAAACAAATGTTTTGATAACTTCCACTGAAGGGAGATCCAAGCTATACCGGTGGAGAGTTGACCGGCGCAGTAAAGGGGTGAAAATTCGGTCCGGACGAGATTTTCCTGGAGTTCCAGGGTCCGTTCAACATCCTGGCAGCTAGGGGAGAGGTTTAGGGGAAGAAGGGCCAGCGCTGGGCCTCCGCGCGGGAAGAGTTTGTTTTTAATTAAAAGGAAACTCCCTTTTTCCCTCTGTAAGAACGATATATTTCAGAGCATGGATTTGTTTACCAGACTGGAATCTGGAAAAAATAAATCGGAGAGAGTGCGTTTTCTTTTGATTTTTACAATAGGGAATGATTCTGCAGTTGAAATTTAAACCCTTTCTATCCTCAAAACAAGTTGATTTGCAGGCGACAGGCCCTCTGTAGTTCTTTGGGGCCCAGTGCCTTTGGGTTGGGAAGGGGCACGGTGAGAGGTGAGCTGGTGAAAGAAGTTATTTAGGGTGTTCTGAGGCAAGTAGCCTACCGCTTCTCGGAGAGGGACGAAGGTAACAAACATTTCTCCGTTCTGAATTGGAGGTGTTAGGAGATTTCCATTTTCCAGTTCCAGCTTAAGTAATGAAGGTGTGTGTGTGGGGGGGGGGCGTTAAGACAAGAGAGAATGCAGAAGGACCGGGATGCCACCAGATGCAGAACACAGCAGTGAGCCCTGCCCAGGAGCAGGAAATGGGTTGAATGCCTCGGCTGAGCCTTTGAGGTCTCCTTTGCAATCATTCCTTTTGCCTCTCAATCGTAAGCGCTGCCTTCCTCCTCTTATCTCCAGTGAGTTCCATCAGCCGAATCCTGAGGAGTAAATTTGGAAAAGGAGAAGAGGAGGAGGCAGATCTAGAGAGGAAGGAAGCAGAGGAAAGCGAGAAAAAGGCTAAACACAGCATCGACGGAATCCTGAGCGAGCGAGGTAAGGGGCCCCAGTGGGCCCTGCGCTCCTACCAGCGAGCGCCAATTCTAGGACCTGTGGGTCTGCGCAACCGCAGAATGGCCCTGGCTCATCTCAAAGCTCAATTCCGGCCTCGGGCACAGCTACTGGTCTCGGGAAGGACATTTAAGTCAGAGGCCAGAGAGGTACTTGGTATTAAACAAAAATCTCCTCTATCCTAATGTTTATTTTCCTGGCGCCCAAATCTGGGAACTCATACACACTCAGCAAGTGTTGTGCCTCTGAGCCACATACCAATAGTTCTAACTCTAAGTTATTATGAGTTTTTTTTCTCCACCATTTCTAGTTCCTTGGGGTTGAGAAGTCTGAGATGTGTTGCAGGTGGATGTTGTGGATGCTTCCTAGATGGAAGCTAAGCTTCTCTGAAATATATACATATATATATATATGTATGTATGTATGTATATATATATATATATATGTTTAGACTACAGGGTAGTTAAATATGTCTGCGGAGCTTGAAGTAGCTTTCACACTATGGGAAAAAACTGCATGTGACCGAGAATTAATAAGAATATGATTGTTCTGGGCAATGGGAGCCTAATGTTGCCCAAACCTCTGCTGCCTTATACAAATGTGTTTGCACATGTGTATAATAAGCTGGCTAATTTTCATTTGTTCTCAAGTGAGATGAGGTATAACCTGTGTGTATCTGGCAACTAACTGACCATGCCCAAGTAGTGGGTTATAGGGATCTGGGTCAAAGGGATCTGTGTTCGTGAGCCCCTAGTCCTGTCACCCTCTGTTCCCCAGGGTACAGACCACCCACTCCCTGTTAGCTGTGAGCTGTCAGCACCAAAAGAAAAATCTCCCTCCAGGGTATGGAGAATTACAGGCTGTTTCCCTCTTACCTGCTTGGAGTCATCTCCAAAAATAAAGGTTTATAGAAAGAAATAATCCATTTCTATCAGGGCATTCTGAGATGAACTAGGAGAAACTTAGCTCTGGCACACAGATTGTTGTGTCTCTCTTCCCTACCTTCATTGAGTAGCTTTGGGACAACTGCTGGCCTTCCTGGAAAGTTCCTTTGCAAACCAATACAAAAGCTGCACCTTCGATATTTAGAGTTGGATGTTAGCGACCAAGTGCCCAACTTCTAATAAACGGACATCTAGATGCTTCAGGGCACACGTATAATCAAGAAGAGGCCCCCGAATGGAAGGAGGCTGAACAGGGAGAAGGAACATATTGTTACTTCTGTGTTTACAGCAGGGGCTTCAGTGAAGTCTGTGTAAGTCAGGACAAATGCATTTCTGGGCATTCTGTTTTTCCTTCCAGCCCTAGCAGCAGTCTAGAGGTGCTATGATAAAAATAAGGCAGAGGGCTGAGGACCCGGGCCCAATGGGCTCTTAAAGCAGAGCCTTTGGTTATGGGACAGGCCTTGCCGGGATCCATGACTTTGCTACTTGTTGCTAGAAGTATCAGCCAGGCAGACCAGCCGCTCCCTCGCAGCCGCAACAACCAAGGCCCAGGAGACAAAACATCTCAAATGAGCTGGTCAAACATTTGTACAACTTTTCCAGCGTTTACAAAGAAGGCCTTCTCTACACAATCTACACTTGGAGATGAACTTGGGAGACAAAGCCTGGAGAGTCCATTGAAACTCACACTTTAGCTTGGCCCAGACAAAGCTCCAGCTCAGAGCAGCTTGATGTGAACAAAGGAAGGCAGCCTTTTTATAATTCAAGGAGAAAAGAAGAGAAAACAGCCCCACAAAGGGCCCAGAATAGACATTATGGGCTTGCAATGAGGGATGAATTATTCAATGAGCCCCAGTAGCTGCTGAGCCAGGAAGTTTTATGGACTCTCCAGTGTGGAAAAAGTGGCCATTTCACCTACAAAATGTTTCTAGTCTTTTGGGTCGCCTCACTGGGCCGGCTGCCATTCAAGGGCAATTGCTACCATTTTTAAAAATCAGAGTGTTTCCCCCAGTGGGGATTGTGTTCTTCTAACACACACACACACACACACACACACACACACACACACACACACACGCCCCTCCCTCAGAGGCTGAAGTCTAATTTAATTTGGGGTTGTCAAGGAAGACACAGCCTGAGTCCCTTCAGTGCCTCCAGCTTCCTTTCCGGATGAACCCTGGAGGGCAAGAGGGGCCCAGAGAAAGGATAGAGTGAGATGCAGTTTGAAGTCTAGAAACCTCAAATATTCCCCTCTGTTGTTTGGGCATCAAAAGTCTCTGACGGTCCCACTTGTAAAATAGAATGGATGTTGAGAAAGGGCTTTCTGAGTCCTGACAAAGGGGAGGGAAAAGCTGGTGGAGGAGGGACTTTTGGGTGCCCCCCCCCACTACTGTGTGCTCTTGCCAGATGGGCCTGGTACCTGCTGCTGAGGTTGGCTTTGCTGGACACAAATTTGGCCTGGGGTCTGCTTGGCAGGCGCTTCTTGGATGCTGGGAGAAGGGCACCCAGACAGAGGTCAGAGCCTCTCTCTCTCTCTCTCTCTCTCTCTCTCTCTCTCTCTCTCTCTCTCTCTCTCTCTCTCTTTCTCTCTCTCTCTCTCTCCCTCCCTCCCTCTCTCTGTCTCTGTCTTCCCCTCCCTCCCTCTCCCCCCCCCCACCAAGATCTTGTCCCTTTTCCTAAAGGGTCCCTTTTGCTTTCCCCAATTTTCCTTCTCCCTTGTCCAATCTCAGTCCAAGCAGCGGCTGCATATACCCCTATGTTCCAAGGTACCCCCAGGCTCTGTGCACCCCTGCTGATTCCATCCTTCCTGCAGCATAGGGGTGAAAGAAGAGGGTTGTGCGGTAGGGAACCTTCCGCCCTGTGCTTGGCCAGCAGTGCAGACGGAGCAGGCGCAGCCGGACCTGCGGAGTTCGAGCTCAGGCACCTCGGGCTGCGGCAGCTCAATGGGCGCCTCTGTTCCTCCCCCGGCGCAGCAGAGCGGGCCCGCGGGCGCCGCCACAATAGCCCGGGCCCCCGCTGCTGCGCCCTGCGCCAAAGCGCCGCGCCGCCCCTCCCCGCGCTCCGGCCGGCCCGCAGCTTAGCTCGCCGGGCTGCAGCCGACTCAATTGCCTTCTTTATGTCCCTCTCACTTTCATCTAGACACAGCCCGCCTCCCCCTTCTTCTCCTTTTTTTTTTCTTCCCTCCCTAGCCTGAGGCTCACATTAGTGAAATTTCTGCAACCTCCCCCATTTTTTTTTTCTTATTTTAAAGAAAGCCCTTAACACAAAAGCGGTGACTAATCGATAGAAACTGCTCCTTCATCATCCTCTCCTTCTCCTCCCCTCCTTTCCCTCCTCCCTCCTCGTCTTACTCCTCTTCCTCCTCCTCCCAACCCCCTCCCTTTCTCTCAGCAGGGTGACGCTTTTCCTGTTTGTGAGTTTTGGGCAACATTTTTGCTTTGTGCCATAATGGAATTACCGGACAGACGGGGGCTGTAGATGGACACGCGACGGCAAGACTTTCCGCTTAAATATTTAGATGTAACGTTACAATTACGGACTTGTTGCTGCGGCTTTGAAGTGGCCGTGCGGGAGCGCAAGGGGAAAGAGGCCAGATTGCCAAATTGATGTTTTGATTGGGCCTGGAGACACGCTTTCACAGGACTCTCCCCCCTTTAAAAATAAAATCTCAAATAAGCGTGGGAGGTTTTCAACAATCGCAGAGATGAAACTGAAAGAATTCGAGCACAGGATCTCTGGGAGCTTATATTCCCTTCACATTTCTTTTTTCTTTAGTGGAAAAAAATGTTTTGGTTTTTTTTTTTAATTTTTTTTTTCAGAAAAATGCCTGTGTCAAAAGTTTTTCTTGAGCTTGTTTTGTGTATAACCTCATGATCTTTACTAAAACTAATGACAAATGACGTCAGATTAAAAAATGTATGTCTATAAAGATCAAGGCGGGGGGGGGGGGTAAAGTTCTTGGACTATTTCGTTCCCAGTAGATTGTTTGGAAAGCACACTCTCGAATGAAGGGAGTCATGCTGTGAAAAGCAAAGCCAATTGCTTCTTCCTTGTTGGTGGAGAAGGGAATTGGTTGGTGTGGTGTGTGTGTGTGTGTGTGGGGGGATAGGCTGAGCCTTCCCACAGATTAAAATAATCGGGCACAGGATTACAGATTTCTGGACCCAGATCTTTTATTACTGGCCATTTCCTGACCATTCTTAAGTCCATTTGCCAGGACAGGAGTCTGCCCTCAACATCATATTTAGACCTGGAGACACATTTTAAAGTTTTGAATGCTTTACAATTCTACTCAAGGAAAGTGTTCCATTTGAAAAAAAAAAATGTGTTGGGGGGTGGTGGTGGTCACCAAACCACAGTAACATTCCCTAGCCAGAACAATGGGGAGGTAAGGGGTGGAGTGTGTGTGGGGGGGTCCTGCGCTTAGCACTTTCTTTTTCCTCTTGTTTTACTGGGGTAACTGCTGTATGCTTACTTTCTAGCTTTATTGAAAACACGCAGATTTCCTAATTAATGCACGATATCATGTTTATTTTGGATTTTGATGTGATTGTTGATAGCACCGGAACAGGAGGTAGGAGCTTCCAGTTTGTAATAATTACTGAAGGGTCATTTAAGAGTCTCCAGGGCTGAGTCATAAAACACACCCGGGCGATGATGCGGAACCAGAAAGTGTGCCTTGGTTCAGGCAAGTGGAATATACAGAAATCAGCCAAGTGAATAGGAGCGATGCACTAAACCCTAGTGGTTCCAACATTCATGAATATTCTGAGGACAAAACAAAAATCCTTCCTTATCATGAGATTAAATGTTCACGTTATACAAGAAATAAATTGGTCAGCAGAATAGCTCAGTGACAGTTGCCTAGCCTGGGACCCAGAAAGTTTCGGTTCAGTGGGGTCCTATGATAGGTAACTTACTTATTCACTCCAATAAATGAAGATTAAGGAACTATTAAGGACAAGAACCTACCTTGTAACTCACCAGCCACTAAAATGGCAATTAAGCAGTCAGCTTCATGTCTTATCTCACTGGCTGCTC